ATTTTTATTAGATTCAGCTGCGGAATAGACCTCTTTCTACAAGTCCTGTTTTATCCTCCCCTGGATCTTGCCAGCAGTCAAACTTCATGAGCACATTAGAGCAGCGAGCAGCTTTCAAAGCCTGTGCTGACATCCCGTTAGGCGCCATCAGCACCGCCGGAGACATGGAACCCAATCGGGAGGGACAAGCAGAAAGCTGATGGCTGGTGCTTCTGGATTGCCACGGAAGGGAAGAGTTCTCTACTCTTCCCTTCAAATCTCCAAAAAAGGAAAAGGGATGCCCCATGCTGTCCAGGCCAGCACTGGGACAGGACTAGGGACCATGCCCTGTCCCACAGTTCCTCTGGGAGCTATCAGGGTGGCTCAGGGGCTGTTAATGGTTCCCTCCTCTGTGCTCAGCTTCCCGTTGCTGTAACAAACACCTGATAACTGACCCATAAAGATGCAAGGTTTACTTTGGCTCCTGGTTTTGGGGGTTTCTGTCTGTGACCAATGGACTCTATGACTTTAGGTCTTGGTGGCACAAAGTGTGTGATGTTGGAGACTGTTTACTCATAGCCCAGTGTGGTCTGGAGGATGCTAGGGGCCCCCTGAGACACTGTGTCCTTCAAAGGCCACCTCTTGAATACCTCTCCCTGCCTGCTACCTCCTAACGGGCCCACTCCCTCTCAACAGAGCCCAACTGGAAACCCTGTTGCATAAACAAGGGGTTCTGAGTACACTCTGTTCTAAACCACACATCCTCCATCTGAGGATAAAAGATGGCTGGGACTTATGGGTAATGTCTCCCCAAGGTCACTGCCACTCCTCACGTACCCTGAATGGAGGCCGTGGGCTAGCTCCGTGGGGTGGAACCAGTAAGATCATACCACACATTGCTAGAAACCTACATGGCTCAGCAGCCCCGGGAGTCATGCTCCACCATGGCCCCACATGCTTTGCCATGGACCCGTGTGGCTCAGCCAACGCTCCACCATAGACTGGTGTGACTCAGTTCATGTGGACCCCGACGGCTCAGCTCCTACTGTGTACCTGCATGGCTTAGTCTCCTAACTCCACTGTTCTCACCAGGCTTTCCTGGACACACAAGTGATCTGTCCCCTGTGCGGCAGAGTGAGCACTTATGAAGAGACACTATTCCTTCCAAGGAAAATGCCGGCAATTAACTGGGGTTTGGGAAGAACATTCTGCCTCTTCTCCCACCCACGTTTTCATTTAACATATTTTATCAGAATGAAATGCCTTAACGAGCACAGAACTAGCTAATCCCAGCTGAACCTCGGAGTGCGCCAGCTCTGCTGCCCGCCCATCAAGCTGCATTTACGCTCCAATGTGGGCTTTTGGAGCACTGCCCTGGAGCACTGACAGAAAACTCACGGGCTTCCTGCGGATAGAACAACGCAGAGTAGACCCAGAGTCGCTGTCTGCACCCTGTGAGAGTCGGGAACAGAAAGAGAGAACACGGCGCAGATGTGGTTGTGTAGATGGAGTGACGTGTGTGTGAGTGCATGGATGCATGTTGTGGGCTGGTGTGCACACGTGTGCACAAAGTGGGTGAAACGGGCTTGTGTGCGTGGGTCATACATGTATGTATAAAGTGGGCTGTGTGTGTATGTTCATATATATTTGTAGGTAGTGGGATGGTATATATGAATTAGGTTTCTGTATGTGTGCATGTGTGTATATATGAAGTGGGTTGCCATGTGTTCATGTGTGTGTGTAAGCTTGCATGCTGTGTATATGAGGCAGGCTGCTGTGTGTACAGTCGAACCATGGTTTCTTTGTTCTCCTTGCCAGTTAGGAACTCAACTTCCAAGCCTCACCAGCTGGCACTGCCCACCTGGCAGCTTCTACTGCCTGCCGCTGCGTCCAGACACTTTCCCACATCTGTGTGACCGGGAGAGGAAAATGCCCCTGATATGCAGCCATCCCTATGGAAAGCCACGCACACAGCATCTTCAGACATGCTGTGAGCTCAACTCTAATAGCCACACCTTGAGAAAGGTCTCCAGCTGATAGTGGACCCAGGTCTCTGCTGGTGGGAGTAAGTGGTCACTCCCTCAGTTCTAACCATGCCTGGCCATACCCCTGACCACTGACACATCCGTTCGTGTCTCAGGCCTAGCAGAGGACATATGACCCCTGTCCCCATGGTGATAAACAGGTAGCTCTTTCTCCAGTATGGCTCTACCCACAAGGGCATCCTGTGGTCTTGTTATGTTTTCCCGGTTTGTCTGTAGAATAGGAGTGGAGCCAAGGATTTGGGGATGCTACAGTGCTCCTGATCCTTCCCCACTGCCTGTTCCCGGACATTCCCTTTGGATGTGAGCAGACCAGAGCCCTCAGCTCACCTGTCACTCACTGCCCATGGGTACAGCTTGGAGCCGAGCTTCCTGGAAGCTGGGGATGACTGACTGGGAGTTTTCAATCGAGCTTCTGCTTGCTGCTTACTTTCAAGAATTTGGTTTGATGGGTACATAGCCACAACTACTGTTCATATGCTGCCTGGGTCCTGCTCAGTTCACACCTGTGTCCTAGAGATACTTAGCTATTTGCAGAAGGGGCCATCTCGGAAAAGCGAGCCAGCTCTGAGGAAGAGAGAGAGGCTGGGCTGGGTGGCTCGGGCATCCCCCCCCCCTTGCATCTTTCTCTGCACCAGATGAGGCTCAGGAGGCTCTGCAGGGCCTTGGTGCATCTCTAAGACACGCTGCTGTCCCCATGGCCTAGGCTCGCATGGAGGCGACTTCTCTGTGTTGGCAGCCATGATCATAGCCACCTTCCACGTGGCGTGCAAGCACAGCTGGATGAAACCCCTCTCAGAACAAATTGATTTTAATAAAAATGAAAGACTTGAGGAAAACCCTTCAGTAGGTGACATCGCGGTGATTGCCAGAAGCAGCCACCATCTGGAGAGGGCCGAGACTTGTGCACAGAGTGAAGACCACGCGGCTGCCCTCAGCATCATCTTAGAAGCCATTGTGGACAGTGGGTGAGTCAGTAGCCTGGAGCAGAGGCACCCCAGTGGGGTTTCCCTCCTGGACAGCCTCCTCTGCCTGCCCAAGGTCCTGGCTCTGACTCAGGCAGCTCCAGGAAAGCCTCACGTCCCGTGTAGTGAGAGTGTGCGCAGAAGCAGGGGACATTGCCACGGAGTGTCCCTGGGTGTGTGTCACAGCACCAATGCCAGCGTTTCTACTATAAATCCCTTGCCTCTCTTGGACAGACTAGGAACCCCCTGGGGCTGACAGTAGTGACGAAGAGCTGGCTGGGAGCTCTGATGCTATCTGCACACTAAACACACAACTCTGGTCTACAAGGAAAGGAACGAACAATAGAGCCGGCCTGAGAACAGACACCTCTTTCCACATACTCTGGCCTCTCGTGACTCTTGCAAAGCCCCAGAACCCTCATTTTCATGGGGCTTCTCCTTGATCATATCCCTTCATTTCATCACGTGACCATCATCACAGATGTGTAAGGGAAAAACACAATCAGATCACAGACAGGCAGGCGTCAGAGGCCACAGGACAACCTTGAACCACACCAGCGTCCACAGACAGGACGGCACAGCAAATAATTCTGAAGAGCAGTCGCTGCAAGCCGAGAGGCCGGTCGGCAGAACATCCCCTCAGAGTGGCCTTGGCTCCACGTTTCCCCACAGTTTCTTTACTGCACAGTGCCCCCCACACCTCAGAACCTGCCCGGTCTGGAGGGTCCAGACCAGCCTTAAGAACAGCTGGGTCCACTTACCCTGACGAGCTGCTGGGGGAAGGGCCCGCGGGAGTTCTCCGGCACGTTGATGGGCGGGATGACCCAGTCACGCTTCTGCCTCCTCAGCCCTCCGGAGCTCTGGTGCTGGGGCCACGGCAGCAGTGTGTCCTTTGGGGACTGAGAGGGGTCCAGGGCTGCTGTCTTTCCTTTCTGAGGGAGAAGAGTGAGAGATATCAGGTCAGGCTTTTACACAAAGGCCCCTGTTAGTAAGTGTCTATGTCCTCCCCTATTGGTGTGGAAGAGTGGAGGACACTGGGAAAGGGTGGAAGCCTTTCTTGTGGAATTGGAAGTGGAAACCACAAAAAGGAGTCCACATAGCACTTTAGTGGACCATAGCGAAGGGGTTTCTTCGGTTTTTAAATTCTTTTGGAACCCACAGCTTTGTGCTAAGCAACCGAATCTGAAAGAAATCTCACAAAGGGTTGCTAGCCCCTATATAAACAGCTTTTTTAAAATCAATAATTTCTCTCATAATAAGAAAAGAACACACATCGATATGTGCTGAACATGCCACAATAGGCACCGAACATCCATAAACACGTAGACATCTTCTATGAATCAAGAACGCAAATTAAAGCGACATACACACCCTTCCCCCTGCCAAACCAACAAGGTAAAGTTCATCTCCAGTGTGGACGAACCTGTGCACTTACTCCGTGGATTGGCATCCCCTATGGACAGACAGACAGCCTCAGAGTCAGCTGAAGACAGACAGACAGCCTGAACATCCATCCTGTGGATGGACACCTTTAAATGTTGTAGTCCCAGCTGATTTGAAACTCATTTGAACTTACAGCCATGCTCCTGCCTCAGCCTCCCAAGTGCCAGCTCTCACTTCTGGAGTCCTGAGTCCTGTGGAGTGGCATTCACTGGGATGTGCAGTGGGGCTGAGGAGATACATATTCCCATGGAAGTCCCAGAGAAGTCTCCCTGTTCTCCGGTTGGCTTTTAAATCTGCTGGCAGCTGGAGGGGGCAGGGCTTGCATTTCAGGCTGGTCCCACACCTGCAGCTTACACTAAGGGCCTTGTTAGAGACACCTGTTCCTCAGTACCAGGCTTGGTCAGCTCCGGGCCATGCTGGATGCTTCTGTCTATTGCGTCCTTGGGTGAAGGACATTGTTGGTTCTCAGACACATGTGTTCATGGCAAGGCTCACAAGTCCCAGGTGCCGGCTCACCTGATGAATTCAGGCCTTGTGCATGCTAAGCAAGGGCTCTAACTGCAGTCTTCCTAGTTTACAGGGTGGGGTGGATGGGTGGGGCTTTGGCCTAGCACCACTGAAGTTGGGTTTGCTGTGGTTCTGCAAGGTCAGGACAGGACCCTCGTGTTGGCCTGGCCAGGATGGAAGACTGGCTGCTGCTTCAGGGTTTCAGGAGCCAGGCCACGGGTGATCGGGTTTCTGGAGGCCTGGGGGGATTCTGCCGGGCTGCAGGGAGAGAATAAGTCAGTGAGTCAGAAGCTGGTTTTAACTGGGGCCATCCCCGCAACTTTATGAAGATGGACTCACTGCTCAGGAGACTCCAACACTGTGGTCATGAATGGGAAGGTGGACTTCCCAAAAAAGAAGCTGGCCCACCAGTGGCCAGGGTGGGTCTCAGGAGGCCTGGTGTTGAGGGTGAGGCACTGCGTCCTGGGGTGGGGAGGGTGCACTTGGCATTTCCGCAGTAGCTGTTGCTGAACAAGGAGCTGGCTTGACCTGTAGTAGTCATGGGTAGCCACTAGTGAGTTGCTGGAAGGGATTGCTGCCACCCTTCAGGGCCGGCAAGCTGCAGAGACCTTGGGAAGACACCGTGGCACCTCCTCATGGGTCTGGGCACACAATCACAGGTGGTAATGCATGGGGCACTAGGCTCTGGCACCGTTTGCAGGAATAACCCATGGGAAGCGTCCATTCCATGACCTGCATACGATTTGCACCCATCTTCCTCTCTTCTTCTCCTTCCCTTTCTCCTTCCTCTTCTTCATCTTAAGAGAGGAGCTCACTCTATAGCTCAGTCAGGTTTTGGGCTTGTGATCTTCACGCCTCTGACCCTGGAACAGCTGAAACCACAACTCTGCGGCCACCGGACCTGCTAGACTGTCCTCATTCAGAGCATATCTGCTGAGCTGGCCAGATGTGAGCAACTGGACCTCTCCCGAAGGACAGCCTCCTGGGACTTGTCCCCAGTGCTCTGAGTGTGTGGTGAGGCAGAGCCCACCAGGCTGCCTCACACAGCTGAGTCTCTTTCATAGTAGCTGCTGCTGCCAAGGCTGCATTGTAGACTGGAAGCTCCAAGAGCCTCTCACACACCCGCTTAAAAACCCGGCTTTATCTTCATTTGCTGAGGAAGCGTTTGCGCAGCGTTAATTTCCCCAGTGTTGTTTAAATAAATTGCACATATTTGCTACTGTTTTAGAGCTGCGAGACGAATGTAATAACAAAATCTGGTGAACGTCAATGCCAGACCTGCGCAGGCTTCTGCCTGGGAGAAAACCGTCGAAGGCAATTAGCGGCCAGCCTGGTGGGAAAGGCACGTTCTCCCAGACATGTGGGCCCTTGCGGAACGTGGACGTGGAAATCTGCTTGTTCTGGATGATGCTTCTCCTTCCCTAGCACATTCTCCCTATCGTGGACTTGATTCTCTTCTCTCTGTTTCTTCATGACGGTGGCTGGTCATGGGTAAGGAGAGGTGAGCTTCGTCGCTGTTCCTAAGCATTGCAGAGTGCACCCACACACCTGTGTGAGACTCCATGCATTTGCGCACCTGACACACATACATAAGCAGGTGTGTGTGCACGTGGACACGTGCCTGGACCCCTCTGCAGGCCACGCCTTGCCTGTCTCTGTATCTCAGCGTCTTGAGTGTCTGCCTGGACCAGCTGCCTCACATCCACCTCCTCACGCTCTTGCTGACCTCAGCTTTTCTTAAAGTAGCAGCTGCCAGACTGAAGCCTTGCCCGCAGCCGGTGTGGCCGCAGCTTCAAGAGGTAAAGCCTCACCATGGCCCTGGTTGCTGGACTCAGGGGAGCTGGAAGGTGAGTGGGTGGTGAGAGAGGAGAAACCAGGCTTGCAGCACCCCCGGAGCCGGGACCTGCTTTCCTCTAGAGCAGTTCTCAACCAATGGGTGGCGATCCCCGCAGGGTCACATACCAGGTGTTCTACACGTCAGGTATTTATGATTCCTAACAGTGACAGCATCATGGCGCCCTACATGAGGAACTGTGTTAAAGGGTCGTAGCATGAGGAAGGTTGAGAACCACGCCCTAGAGTCTTATAGCTAGTCCCTGCCCCACCTCTCTCTGCCTTAGGGGAGTCTGAGAGGCGTTTACTGCAGTCAGGACATCTCCCCTCATTGTGATCCCAGATTCTAAGACCCACTCGTCCTGAACCCTTGCTTCCTGGCTTCGGGCTGAAGAGGCAGCGGATTATGTAGGAACCAGGTCAGCTTATGATCAAGTTTCTCCAAGGCACCAGCTGTTCAGCCAGTCTCATGGCCTAATCTGTTGGATTTCCCCACCCGCTCCTACTCTCCCTCTCTCTTCTCTCTTTCCTTGAGCTAGGCTCTCTTGTAGCCCAGGCTGGCCTTGAACTTGTGATCCTCCAGTTTCTGCCTCAGAAGTGTTGGGATCACAGGTGCTTCACCACCATGCTTGCCCCTTCTTCCTCTTCATCTTCTCCTTCTCTTCTTCCTTCTTCCTCCTCCTTTCAAATTTGAATTCTGAGATTAACCTTAGCTCCTCATGTGTACAAGGAAAGTGTTTTAACAACTCAGCCATATCCTCTGCCTTTTAAAGACGAATGGCATACTGTGTTCTCGTGAGCTGGGCGATGGCAGGATCCACTGGTGGGATGTGTATCCCTGTCCTTCATACTGTGTGTGCAGGTGTGTGTATGTGTGCATGTGTGTGTGTCTATGCATGCATGTGTATGTGTGCATGCATGTGTGCATGTGCGTGTGTGTTTTACCCTGAGAGGGGGTGGGATGGGGGACGGGCAGTCCTTCCATATCAGCTGGTCTTGGGTCCCTCTTGGTACACTTCCTGAATCCATCTCAAATACAAGCACCTTTCCTTCTCTCTCCTTCGTGGGCCTTGGCAAGATGCTCAAGCTTGAGGCCACATAGGTTGTCATTTCAGGAGAGAGGTGAGAAGTGGATTTAAAAGGCTAAGAGGGAGGCATGCAACGGAGGCCTGAGGATTTCCCCTGGAAGGCAGAGGCTCCCGCTCACTGGCGGCAGCTGTGTTAGGAGATGATGGAAGCATTGGCCACAGTGGCCGTACCGTCACCCCACACCCCTGTCCCTGAGCCCGGGGCTCTGTCCCACCCAGGCCTTACTCCCCTGAAAGGAGACCGGTTCTCTGAGCAGGATCATGAGGGTAATTGACTGTGGCTTCTCCGAGAGGTCCCCAGGGCTGCTCTGCATTAGCAAGAAGCTGGGTCAGTTCCCCGCAGGCTCCATTCACAAGTGGCGAATGAATAATTCAACGCTGATCTGGGGTAGGTTTTAAATAATCACTTTTTTTTTTTTTGAGACAGGGTCTCAATCTGTAGTCTTGGCTGGATTGGAGTTTGCTACATAGACCAGTCTGGCCTCAAACTCACAGAGATCTGCTTGCTTCTGCCTCCCAAGCACAGGATTAAAGGTCTGGGCCACCACGCCCGCTCATTGTACTTTATTTTAAAGACAATCGAGTGTCAGGTTAGAATACAACGTGGGAAGTGACCTTTCCTCACGGTTCCCCGTGCCCAAGCCTGCTCATCTTACTGAGGAATCTTGCAGGAGCCTGGGTTTTAAAGTCAGTGAATTGTGCAACACTCAGGTGAGGCGCACGGGTCAGTGTGAGGAGTGACAGGGGGCACCTGTGATCGGAAGCTCCTGAACACCTGTCCCAGGTGTGTACCAGTCTGTCCTGATCATCTTGGTTTGCAGTGGGCAGGAGTGGGCGGGAACCAGTTTGTAGTGGGTGGGAACTGGTTTATAAGTAGCTATTGATCAGTATTTTCTAAATTTCCCTTTAATGGCAGCGCAGAGATCTGGCAGATTATCTGAGGCCTCTGGACTTCGCATGGTTCCCTGCAGCCCGTGTGGGTCTCACACAGAGCGATGTTCCCAGTGCAGACTCTTAACTGAGTGTACACAGCCCCAGCACTGTGAAGAGTTGTACAAAGGCCGTGCAGGCACAGGGGCACAGAGAAGACCTAGAAAATAATGTTCCCAGGTGGAACCACCTTATCCACCTCCCAGTCAGCACTGGGTGCCAGGCACTGGACTACTGATTTGGGCTCCTTGATGTTTGTGCAGAATCCCTTGAGGGACAGAATTTCCCATTGTTGCCCAGAGAAGATGTCACATCTTAGAACAGCGGAAATACAAGATTGCGTCAAGGTTCCCAGATGCCAGCTCTGCAATGCTGTTGGATTGCCTGACCTCAGAGGTGGGCGACCCATCACAACCTTGATGCTCTCCCAGCTCCCCAGTAACTGGGTCTGGGTGACCATGTGGATGTCTCTTTAACACCTTAAATGCTTTCCAATTTTGAGAAAAGGGCACATGTCTGAGTCTTCCTGATTCAATAAAAGCAGTTTATCGCGGTCACACTAGCTTCTAAAGGACACACAACAGGGTCCTGGGACACAGCCTCTTAAGTCAGGGCGTCACATTGCCAGCCTCATCTTGTGAGATGCAATCATCAGCTTTTGTTACCCATGTGACTCTTTGGGAAAGTCTCTGATTGGCAGTACAGCCCTGTGAACCCCCTAATGCTGATACACAATCTCCACAAGGCACCGGAAGTTCTAATTTTCATAAACAGATAGTAGGCACTGACTGGGCACAGAATAAAGGGAGTGTGTGTGGGAAAAGACAGAGAGCGGGTATTTTTGCTACCCCATTTTCTTCCTCTAGGTCTTCTGGTCAGAAAATTCCATCAGGAAAGAAAGAGTAAATATTGGTGATGGTGACAAACCGGGGATCTGCTTTTCCGCCTAAGCACACTTGTGTAAGCCCCGCCCTCCAGGCAAGGTTTCTCTCCTGCAATGGTAAAGGCAGAGGAGGAAGTGTGTGGTGCAGGCCTGCAGTCTCAGCTACCGAAAGACCCCCATACTTGAAAGACCCCCCCATGCCCATGTACTATGTTAAACTTTGCTGAAATTTAGCTGGGCCCCTCAGCTCAGCCGATGCTAAAACTGGGTATCTATGGGTTGCAGACTCACTGACCAGGCTAAGGAGAGAGACAGAGTGCTATATCTAGCTTTGTGGTTTTTCGGGACTAAGGAGAAGGGATACTCCACAGCCCCCCCCCCCCAAGATATCCTATCTAAACTGTAAACTCGCTGCAGGGTGTTTTATCTATCTTTATGGTTTTTTGGGGAAATTCGAGAATAGACATGGGGCCATTCCCAGGATAAGCTAAGCCCACCAATTTGAGAGCCAATGAAATGCTTGTGCTATACTACCCTCTTATGTAATCATTTTTTCCTATAAATATGGCTGTTTGAATTTGCCCTGGGTGTGTGCAGTTGGCGTAAGCTACTGTTGCACCCTCAGGCGCCTGTGTAATCAATAAAGACACCTCTTGCTGATTGCATCTGTTGGCCTAAATTATTGAGTCTGGGGGAATTCTCCCACTGCCCTTAAAAATGAGGATTTTTCACCACTTCCTAGTCCGAGGCAGGAGGACTGGAAGTTAAATAGCCATCTGAGGTCTTAGTGAAGTCCTGTAGCAAATGAAAAGTGAAAAAATTGCAGCTACTGGGATGTGGCTCCGTGGCAGAGCTCTCCTAGTGCAGCTATTGGGATGTGGCTCCGTGGTAGAGCTCTCCTAGTGTAGCTACTGGGATGTGGCTCCGTGGTAGAGCTCTCCTAATGTAGCTACTGGGATGTGGCTCTGTGGCAGAGCTCTCCTAGTGCAGCTACTGGGATGTAGTTCTGTGGCAGAGCTCTCCTAGTGCAGCTACTGGGATGTGGCTCTGTGGCAGAGCTCTTCTAGTGTAGCTACTGGGATGTGGTTCTGTGGTAGGGAGCTTTCTTAGCACACGAGGCCCTGGCTTTCACACACATCACAAAAGTAATAAAATAAATGAGAGCAGAGGTGAGGACCATCCGCAGACAGAGCTGTGATGAGCAGGGAAAGCTGACTGACGGGGGAGACCTGAGATCAGAGAATTTCTTTCCGTGAAGACACTGGGGGCTGAAGCACAAATGATAAAACCCAGGGACAGAAATTGGGGTTCAAACTCAAAACCAGGGGGCTCATGACCATTGCCATGGGAAGGTGTCTAAGGGGCCAATGAGATGTTTCAGTCAGTAGAGCACTTGCTACACAATCCTAGAGACCTGGGATAGATTCTCCAGACCCGTGTAAAGATGGAGGGGGGGACTCATTCCACAAAGTTGTCCTGTAATGTCCACATGCACACACCAGCACACACATGCACACATAACACAGAAATGCTAGACACAGTTATAATAATTTTTAAAAACCCTCCAGCCATATAACCCGGCAATTGTGTCTGCCTTCCATAGCTGTAGCGTAGTACAGGGTGTACCACAGGAGCTCTGTGGACTCATCTTACAGCCTCTGCTAAATGGTGGCTGAAGACTGGGCACAGCAACTCCCAACTCTAGGTGTGTGTGGCAAGGGATGACAGGTGGCGCTAAA